TAGTAAGCATAAGTAGATGAAAGTGCTAATGCACAACAGTATGCCATTGTAGTTTAAAATCAGTATTTATGTTTCGGTTTTTTTTATTTAATTTTTTACATTGTTATTACGGAAACCAACTAAAGTCCATCACCTGCTAATATGAGATCATATTAGGTTAGGCCTACATGAATATTTTAATGGTATTAAATATTTGGATTTTATAAGGAAATGTGTCTTTTATGAATGCAATGTATGGCAAATAAGAGATGAGCTTTCGTTTCCACCAGCTATGCGCATGAGATACCGTTTAAGTCACTATGTCCATATACTTTATACCATAATATATATATATAGAACTGGTATGCTCTAACAGAAGTATAATCAGCTATAGCAATTGTAGATGGATTAGCTATAGTATCCATTCTCAGGAACGAAAATTCCTACGAGAAAAGAAACATAAGTTATAAGAAAAATCAAACAAAGCATTGCAGCAATAGAACTGGAGTTATACTATGTAAGTGTGGAGTTCCACACACCTAGCAAGTGTGTTTCAAAAATACTTAAACTAGTGCAAAAATACAGAGGAAATAGAGGCCACACTGGACTCTAGATGTGTGTGACGTAACAGCAAGCGCCCAGCGATTCGACGTGTGAAAATACTTGATGAAAGCCAGCGTTATTACTCGTTACTAAAAAGCATAACTGTGCGCAAAATATTGCGCTTAGTAGGAGCAGGATCCTTGTTAAAATGCCAAAAACCTTAATTAGTTTCTGTGACATATCGGCGCCTCGTGTTTCAGGATTTTTGCGCGAAATCCAATTAGAGGTGAGTACATGCTGAGAAAGGCATGAGGTCGTACCCTACACTTCTCGCAGTTGGAGCGCATTGGATGGAACTTACGCCACGAACAAGTCCTTGCAAAGGGTTCGAGCTACAGGATTAAGCCAGTTGAGACTAATGTAGGATTAATTACTCCCTACTACGCTAAACCGGCCTACGACCAGCTTAGATAATAGTGTTTACGTTTTAAATTTCGTGGACCATTACTGTCGTCACCACTCTCCTTCATCCTCCTAGATCGAAAACGTGGAGGATTCGTAGTTCTTTTAGTCGTGGTACTCGCGGCGCACTCACGCTTACGACGGTGCATTGCTGTCGGGGGGACATGTGTCATAACACGCGCTCTATCTCACCTCACGCGCTCGTGCGCGACTCATCGCGATCGTGGGTCCAGCTGAAGTATCAGCGGAATACCGCCGCGGTGGTGCATGCCCTGTCGCGGGCGATTGTTCATAACAACGCGCGTATCTCACCTACGGCTCGTGCGCTCATCGCAGACTCTTTGGTCCGTGATCTAGGGAATACGCTCAGTGGTGATGATATCGGCGGTGGAAGTGTCATAACAAGCGCGGGCGGAGCATCTCCACGTACGCTCGTTGCTCGTCGCAGACTCTGTGTGCCGGGGGAAGCCGTGTGCAGCGTGTTCGACGGGCCCGCCGACCAGCACGTCTTCCCGTCGTTGCCGCCTAGCCATCTGCAAGACATCGGCGATGAAGATCTCCGTGACCTCGTTGCCGCGCTGCTCCGACATTCGATCCCCAGATGCATGGAGGTGGTCTGCGCGGATGGCGGCGTGTGGGGAGGGCAGCGACACCGCTGCAGCTGGGTACGGACGAGTCGTCGCTAATGAACAATCCATACCAATGCATACAATACAATACAATACAATACAATACAATACAATACAATACAATACAATACAATACAATACAATACAATACAATACAATACAATACAATACAATACAATACAATACAATACAATACAATACAATACAATACAACACAACACAACACAACACAACACAATACAAGTGTAAATGTAAACGTAAGTGTAATGCATACAATACTATACCAATACATACGAAATGTTAATGCAAGGTCGAAACTCAAGTGGCATTTCTATGAAAGTGATAAGAGGAGAAGGGTGTTCACCAACTGTTTTAGGCCAGTTGCACTTTTTTTGCATTCGCTTACGGTTCGTTGTTTTTAGCCAAGTCGCAGGGCAGATTTGTTGGAATGTAACCTACAGTGTTGTTGAGCATTAAAAAATTTAACATTATCAAGCAACATGACAACTCATTTCAAAGAACATTTAAATTCTCAAACTATTTCATTTCAATGTTGTATGGTGTGTATGAATGATTTTTCAGGTAACACTGGCGCGAGAAGGAAAACTAAGGCAGCTGACAGGAAGGAGAAAGAATCGCATGGTGTACCACTGAAGGCAGATGTGGCCACCTCTCATCGCTGCCCAACCTTTGATGCACCAGAACACAGGAGCTCACCTCCTGTCGATATTCCTGATAGGTATATATCTTTCTGCCTCTGATAGGCATCCTTCTGCTCTGTTGACAATCTCAAGTGACAGTAGGTGACTAGTAAGAGATGAGTTGCAGGAACACTATATTTAAATTTTTAGCTGGCCTTGACATCGTCAAGATGAGCTATTGCCATGGGGTGTCGTTCGTCGTACGTCCGTCCGTCTGTCAACATTTGGCTACGGTCAACGATAACTCTAGAACCATTGAATTTTTTGAAGAAGATTCATTTTTTGGAAATGGCCATAAGTCAGTTCAGGTTCAATGGATTTTGCTCATTTATAGTATGTGAATGAATGAGGACTGGCCCCAAAACATATCACAAGGGTTTTGATTTTTTTTTAAATTATGCAAATTAGGTAGATTTTGGCAACTTCACTATGCATTTCAGTGTCTGCCTACGGTCAACGATAACTCAAGAACCGTTTGACCCACATGTTTGAAATTGCGTACAGTTGTTACTCCTATGGGAGAGATTTGAGCGTCTTATTTTGGAGCACGCCAGTCTACCTACTTTTGAGCCACGCCAACTTTTTGGCAAAAATGAAAATGGCCATCTAAATTTATTTGATTTTGTTAAATTTTGGTATGTGAATGTGTAAGGCTAGCCCCAAAACAGTTGTTACTCCTATGGGAGAGATGACAACATCTTATTACGTTTATTTCATCTATTAAACTGGTCAACAGTTGTAATACCTATATACGTGTAATATTGTGTTTTAGATTCTTCGTTACAGTAATTTGACTGGAATATTTTATTGTTTTTATTTGCGCGATATTCGAAAACCAAAATGGCGATCATTTAGGCGTAGCGCCATCTCTCGTCAAGATTTCAGACTTTCAGATCTGAAACATTTATTTTCGCATTAAAATTTATGGATGTATCATTATCAAGAGTATATAATGGGAGATATATGTTATATAATGGGAGTTCTCCCATATATACTCTTGCTTTATATATCCCCCTCCCTCTTCTTTCACACCCAAGGTGAGCTACAGTGTCATTGACACTTTCATTATACATGTATGTATGTATGTATGTCTAGCTATCTTTCTATCTATCTATCTATTTATCTATCTATCTATCTAGTACTATTGCTATCTAGTCTATCTAGTTCTATGCTATCTATCTATCTATCCAAGTATAGCTATCTAGTCTATCCTATCCTATCTCATCTATCTATCCATCTATCTTTCTATCTACTCTATCTATTCTATGTCTATACTATCTGATCTATCTATCTATTTATCTATCATCTACATAATACACATAATACGAGTTAGTGGCAGTAACAGATGTCATAATTTACTTCCGCGTGTTGTACGTCGCTCAGGTACATCGTACTGGAGAAGGATGCGGCGACGCTGTCGAGCGACTAGCGACGCACGTACTGCCTCGCCATGCCTCGAGTCCGGTTCCTGGCTCCGCAGCTCGGCCCCGCCAAGGCAATGATTGGCCAGCGTCCGGCGTGAGTGGCGGACGGCGGCATTTTTCTGCTGCCTCGACAAGGCTCTCGCTGCCGCAGCCGTAGCCACGTGCTGTGTGGCGAGTCGTCGGGCATAACGTCGGTCCGATCGGTCGGTTGCCGTCCGGTCTGGCCAGCTACGAATGGGTCGCGGTGCAATCGCCGAGAGCCTGGCCGGGTCGAGGACACACACGCGCCCGCTCCGGGAATCCTATCTGGCCTCACCCGGCGGCGGAACGGACGCGTGCTCTCCTTCCTCGCTCGCCGACGGCACCCCATAGTACCATGAGTGGCCGCGCTGCCCTGGTCAGACGCTCCGCCGCCGCCGACCGCCTACGCGGCGGTGATGTGCCGGACCGGGGCGCGCCCCTCATCCCTTTTCCTTTGCTACCTCCCTTCGATCGCAGCCTCGGGACCTTCGACCATTAGATTTGGCTGACGAGCCGTTTATAAGAAGTGGGAGGCGGGACGCGGTCTATTCGCGCGCTGAGGCGTGCATCGAGTACCCTCTTCGACTGCTTCCAGAACGCTCCTACCGTTCTGGCATCTCCCCTCACCCGAGTCCCCTCTCCGCGACGTCGACGCGACTCAGACGACGCGACCGCGGCGAGAGCCGGTCACGATGAGCCGCAAGACTGGAAGGGCGCTGAAGCCAGAAGAGCTGATGCCCGGCGGGGGCAGTACCCTTGGCAGAAGACCGTCAGTTCGATCGCAGCGTCCAATCTGCCCCCTCCTTGACCGCTTCTGGCGCGGTCTTTCCCCCGACTGCCCCTTGCGTCCTCATGTCCCTTCTTCCCCCCTCCGACCTAGCTCGGCCCAGTCACGGCGGTGCGCGGGAGAAAGACCAGCACCACGATGATCTTGGAACAGATGAGTACCCCTCCGCGGCACTGTTAGAAGGGCCATGGGTAGTTCCCCTCCCGCGCCCCGCCCCACTGTGAGCCAGGATCACAAAGAGAGATGCTTACCCCAGGCGGCTGCGAGTGGCGCATGGGCCGCCGTGGAGCGGCGTCATGCACGGCTGGCGGCAAAGAGATGGCGGCGTTTGGGCGGGCTGGCGGCCGGCCAGCGACACCTGCTCCGCCTGTTCCGCGGCGACACCGCCTTGTGGACTCGCAGCAGGACGTACGTCGGAAGCCAGCGGCAAGTGGGACGGTAATGCCTAGCTCCGCACAACGGAAGCGATTGATGCCGCGGGCCACAACAATCGAAGCGGTAATGCTGGCGGCCGCAACAACGGGAGCATTGATGCCGGGGCCACAACAATCGAACGGTAATGCTGCGCGGCCAGCAACAACGGCAGACAGTGATGCCCAGGGCTGAGTAACAATGGAACGGTAATGCCAACTCCCAGCAACAACGGAGCAGTGATCGCCAGGGCCAGCAACAATGGAACGGTAATGCCGGCGGCCAGCAACACCAGAACGTTCATTCCAGAGGCCAGCGTCAACAAAGCGTTGATGCAGGGGGCCGGCAACAACAGAACGTTAATGCCGGGGCTGGTCCAGTGACAACACAACGTTGATGCCGGCTGCCAGCGATAACAGGACATGCGAGCCTGTGGCGCTGAATAAGTATCGGTTGCCCGAGTCACGCGGTGAGCGATCGGCACGCGCGGTCGATCGGCCGCAGAGAGGTGATCCATCGCGCGGTTTGCATGACCGCGTGACCCGAGACTGTGATAAAAAGCTTACATGTGATAGCGCGTCTGGGACGCTCGACAACCCGACAGTATCGGTAAAGAGCGACCCGGTGTGCCGTGATGGGAAGAGACAGGGCAGCGACTACAGGAAGCAGGGTGGTCGTCAGGATGGCCCGCAGGAGAGGGCGTGGGACAGAAGAAATCGCTCGAGAGCCGCGTCAGACTCGAGTCTCCAGGCCTTCCAGCCGTTGATGGACACGGATCCCAGGTACTGACTGATGAGAGATTAATTTTACAAGGCATTTTTCTTTAATGACTGCCTACTACCTCGTCTATACTTACTGCTACTGCCTCCTACCTACCTCGAACTGTTACATTTTTAGGGAACACTCCTGCATGATTACTATTACTTAATTAACACCCACTGTCTAACAAAACCCACGTAAAAGCACCAAAAATCACTATTTACTTACCAAGCCTGGGTGAGTAAACTTGTGGCCTTCCCTCTTCTCTCGCAAGCAGATCATGCCTGTCTGCGTTAAAGAGGTTAATCTCTAACCATTTTTGATATTGCTACAACGCTTTCTGTCGTCTTCTCTGTTGTCTATCTATCTTTAGCTCATCTGACGTAGTCAGATGCAGCTTGTAGAATCGCATGATTGTCGTTCCGGCCTCGTCCGGCGTCCGTCCGTCAACAGTTGGGCACAAATCTTAACCGCCTCGAGGTACGGTCACGGATATTCGGGACTTGGGGGTAATCCGAAACGAGTTGGATGTCGAAGCTGGGGGTCAAAGGTCAAGAGGTGTAAAGAAGGGGAACTTTCCCCCTTAACTATGGTATAGGGAGGAAATGCAGAATTGCGACACAAATCTAAACGCGCTCGACCTAGGCTCGTGATAGTCGTGTATAGCAGATCGTGGTAGGAAAGCCATCATGCTTGCCGAAATTGGAGATGGCCACAGGTCAATAGTCAATGGGGCAGAGGGCAGATTTTAGACATTTTCTGAGGACATGGTCTGACGGCGACGATTGGAAAAACTTTTTTGTTCCTATGGTGACCTACCATTTTTATGGCTTTATTTGAAAGGACCATAAAATGTACTTCTGCTGAAATGCGAAGAGTAAGTGTCGAATAACCTTTTAAACCCTCAAGCAGGAGGAGTTAAACATGGATTGTTGACTGTTAACAAAGGACTGAACTGCTTTTTGCTATTGTGGATGTCAGATTACAGATTGCACAGTTCAATTACTAAAGGCAAATGTTGTGAACAAGGTTTACGCTCCTCAAATCAAATTATTTCTTCTTAAGCAGTCTGTACTCAGGCAGCCCTGAGTAGCACTCTGTGATTAGCCGAAACATGTATGATACGCTGAATGCTCGCATAGGTAGGCCAAAAAACATCGGTGGGCAGCCCATTACGCATGCATGGGGGTGAACTGCACTATTCTAACTTTCATATATTGCCTGGCAACCTGCAATGCAGATGTGTTAACTCACAGTTGAGCGAAATTATCACCTGCCTGAATATACTTGGATTTCAGCAACTCAATGGAGTGAGGTTATCACGCACGAAGGGTACACAGTTAAAAAGTTACACAGCTGTATCTATATAAATGTACTACCGGTATATCAAAGCCTAGCTATCATAGATTTGAGATCTGTATTAGTAGTATCCTAGATATATATGCTCTGAGCACGAACGCGGTGGCGGGAGGGCACACTTGATTCGGTTGCCAGGGAGTTTATCAGAAGAATACCCGGCTACAGTACACGTCAGTTGAGCGCTGTCGCTCTGCGGCACTTGTTTTGATATTGCTACAATGCTATCTGTCATCTTGACTGTTGTCTATCTCTCCTTTTGATATTGCTACAATGCTATCTGTCGTCTTGACTGTTGTCTATCTCTCCTTTTGATATTGCTACAATGCTATCTGTCGTCTTGACTGTTGTCTATCTCTCCTTTTGATATTGCTACAATGCTATCTGTCGTTTTCTCTGTTGTCTATCTGTCTTTTTGATATTGCTACAACGCTATCTGTCGTCTTGTCTATTGTCTATCTGTCTTTTTGATATTGCTACAATGCTTTCTGTCGTCTTCTCTGTTGTCTATCTGTCTTTAGCTCATCTGACGTAGTCAGATGCAGCTTGTAGAATCGCATGAGCGTGCGTCCGTGCGTCCCTCAACAGTTGGGCACAAATCTAAACGGCTCGACGTACGGTCACGATATTCGGGACGTGGGGGGGGGGGAATCCGAAACCGAGTTGGGATGTTGAAGCTGGGGGTCAAAGGTCTATCTGTCATCTTGTCTGTTGTCTATCTCTCCTTTTGATATTGCTACAACGCTATCTGTCGTCGCGCAGGTGTAAGTTCTACCTGCCGGCGGAGGATGACGGCGTCACACTGCGGCATCTTGAGCAGCAGATCGCCGTTACGCAGCGCTGCCTCCGCCGCTCATCCTTCTCCATGGAGGCCAGCGCCATCTGCCACGTCTCCGACGTCAGCTCCGACGTCGCCAGGCAGCAGCGCGCTGCGACCTCCGGCGATGTTGTGGCGCGGGGCGTGGGCCGCGGCGCGACGGCGGTGGTGGAGGAGGGCGTGGCTCGAAGCGTCGAGGGCGTGGCTCGAAGCGTCGACGGCGGCGCGGCGACGGCGACCTCTGGCGAAGTGGCGCGGGGCGTGGACCGCGCCGCGGCGTCGACCTTCGGCGACCTCCGGGGATTCAGCTACAACGAGTGCCTCGCCGAGGGCCTTGACACGTCGCTGTCATCGCTCTCGCAGTTCAGCGACATGTCTGAGCGAAGCTTCGACGCTGACGCCGACTCACTGACGGCCTTTCGCTCGCAGCACTGCTCGACGCCCGACTTCCGCCTCCTGCTGGAGAACAGCGCTGCCGCGGTGGCGCCCTCGCAGCGCGGCGGCAGCGGGGAGAGGACGACGTCGTCGTCGAGTCTCTCGTCGAGTTTCAGCCGGCTGGACGGCTCGCTGCTCGACTCTGAGCTCGCGGCGTGTGCGTTCTCGTCGCGCGTGCCACGCAGCCCGACAGACGCCCGCGCAGGCTTCCCCCCGCCCGTCGCCGCCGCCCCCGCCGACTCCTCCTCCCGCAGCGCGAAGAGTCTCTCTGGCTCTCTGTGGCGATGCGATAAGGAGAAGGAAAAGGCAGGAGAGGTACGTGTGTCGATTGTGTGCAACGTATTAGCCAGCGAGCCGTGCAGCCAGGATTTGAACGGTCAGTTTTGAAACTGCACGGCCTAAAATATTGATCTAAAGCCGTGTACATTTGTAAAATTGTACTCCCAAATATTTTTTCTGCACTCCCACAATACTCATTCCTGCCTAATACCCTGATTGTGCGTCGATTGTTTCGTCCCTGTGCGGTGTGTAATTTCATTCGCATTAGACCTGTGCTAACAATGCACAGAGAGGAGAATGAAGTGATTACTAGTTGTATTGTGTTACTTCATGGAAGATATCACCAAAAGGGGATGAAACCCATATGAAGGTGTAATATAACCGTTAATTAGTAATAGTCTTGTTTAATTATCTGTTTAACATTGTGCAAGTGAGCGTAGGTAAATATGTGTGTGTGTGTAATAATATTAGAATGAGTTTATATCAACATGTACAGTTTTAGTGTTATACACGTCCCACGAGTATTTGGGTTGCTGTCATTAGTGAAGGCATCATTCCAAATCATATTTCCGTATAACTGAGTGGAACTAACGATGGGTTTGATGATAATCGTGAACAAAACTTCGTCAGGTTGGCATCGGATTACGAGGATCAGCTAAGAGGATACCGACAGATGCGGAGAGACTGAGCTATCGTCGATCCCTCGACAGTGCTGCTAGCATGATTTTCCATCAAAGGACTGGCTTACCATCTTCCAGTAGTCCTGTACGTGTACCTATGAAAGCTGCCCGTTTACGTTGCTAGCAGCTCAGTATGTACCTGTCACGGATGTACTCTCTAGGAATCTGCACTTATAATTGCTCACCGATACTGTAGTGAGACTGTGGGTGATTTTGCTGCAGCTCTCATGTCGTCTTGTCGTTTACGTAGGTTTATGAAGGTTTCCTGTATAGTGTAATAAGATGTTAATTAGCTCAGCTGACGAAGTCAGATGCAGCTTGTAGAATCGCATGATTGTTCGTCCGTCCGTCCATCAACAGTTGGGCACAAATCTTAACCGCTCGACGTACGGTCTTGATATTTGGGACGGCGGGGGGTCGTGAAAAGGACTCGGGATGTCGAATTTGGGGGGTCAAGGGTCAAGGGTCAAGGGTCAAAGGTGTGTCAATGGAGGGGGAATATTTCCCCCTTAACTTAAGGTATAGGAGGAAATACGGAATTGCGGCACAAATCTCAACGGCTTGACCTACGCTGCTAATATCGATGTATAGTGGTGGATGGCGGAGGAACCCATCACGCAGCGCCAAACATTGGAGGCACAGCGTCAAAGCAGTGGGAACGCGTCAGTCGACATTTTCTGAGGACATGGTCTAATGGACGCAAGTGCAAAACTTTTTTGTTTGAGCCATGCCTACCCTTATTTATCACTTTATTGTAAAGGACCTATTGAAAGGACCATGAAATCTACTTCTACTGACTTCGACAAGAGTAAGTGTCTGATAACCTTTTGACCTCAAGAGGATGGTAAACATGGATTGTATGACTGTTAACAAACGACTGCAACTGCATTTGCTATTAGAGCCCCTCCAGCCTCCCCCACCCTCCCCTCCCCTCCACCCCTCCCCCACCACCACCGCTATGCTTACGCTTGACGCTATTCATGATAACATGTTAATTTAAAGCGAAGTCGTTAAAGTTACACAGCTGTATCTTTATTACTGTACTACCAGTAGGTATAGCAAAGCATATCATAGATTTTAGATACTTATTAGTAGTATCCTAGATATATGCTCTGAGCGCGAACGCGGTGGCAGAAGGGTGCACTTGATTTGGTTAGCAGTGAGTTTATCAGAAGAATACCTGGCTACAGTACACGTCAGTTGAGCGCTGTCGCTCTGCGGCACTTGTTTTTCTATTTGTAGGCTCCACTCAGGAGAGGCAACAGCAGCTTTGAATTTGACCCAACACTTACTAAAGTGTGTAACATCAAATAGTAAGTTTTGCCTATTATATCTTCTATTTATTGTCTCCACATCGCCTAGTGTGTCACTTGTCACTTCGCTGTAACTTGCTTCACTGTATTCTAACAAATCTTTTTACAAGAGCTTTTGCTATTCAGTTGTAAAATTGGGCCACAAGGCATAACGTGGTCTCAACTGCTTCCCTGTCCTTTCTAGTTAGTTGACATCCTCTAGTTTCATCTAAGAATGGATCCTGCTCCCTTGTTAGTGCTTCTTTACTGTAGTAATTGCATCAGTGCTGGGTAGATGCGGTAGGTAATTGTGTTTTCTCTACCGATGCAGTGCACTCTCCTGCTCCAAGTTGGACAGTAAGAATGATGACGTCAGTCTACCAGGTAGTGGTAAGGTTCTGAGTACCAGTGCCCCTGCCTCGTCAAGCTCCAGTCTACTCGGAAATTTTGAGGTGAGCACTAACTAACATTTGACGCATTGAATACGGTGCTCTATTATTACAATAGTACACGTTACATGCCCCGGCTTTGCATCTAGTATGTTGTGCAGAGAAATTGACAGCTGACGATCGCAAGACAGCAGAAATAGTGACTATGCTAGCTGTACGTGTCTAGGCCAACGGGTGGTAATGAAAACGCGAAATGGAAAGTGATGGTTAACCTCGTTTTCCATTCCAGTCTGGGTAAATATACCGTGTTTACCATGTGCTCTGTGATTTCCTCGTGACATATCATAACTCTATAGCTGTCATGCGTGGCTTGTATATGTTTGTACAGCAGTTGTGGCTGAGTAATAAAGATAATAAGATGGTGTTAAATCTGTGTCAGTTACTCTACTGTACTGTAGCTTTTAGTATACATTATAATTATGTATACTTATATAATTAATTTAGTATATATAGCATTAATAATTGTATACCCCGCGACAAAGTTGGCGGGGATACTATGGTTTCATGTCTGTACAGCCGCCGCCGCTGCCGCAGACACTTTCCCTTCCGCTCTATAACTCGACCCCTAATTGACCTAGCGTGCCTAAACAGTCTACTTACACATCTTGGGGAGAAGGTCGCAGCATACCAAAACCAGGTCACTACGAGCTTTATTTGACCTTGATCATATTTCCCTTCCGCTCTATAACTCGGAGCCTAATTGACCTAGCGTGCCCAAACATAGTCTATTACACATTTTGGGGAGAAGGTCGCAGCATACCAAAACCAGGTCACTACGACCTTTATTTGACCTTTACCTTGACCTTGATCATATTTCCCTTCCGCTCTATAACTCGGCCCCTAATTGACCTAACGGAGCAAACTTCGTATACTTACACATATTGGGGATTAAAGGTGTGTCGGTACCACAAACCCCTAAGGCAACCATTTTAACATACTTGCATCTCAGCGAAGTTTGAGTTGTGTAACACCTTTGTCTTAGTGAACTTATTTAACTTTACCTACCTTTTACGTCCTTACGAGAGATATTTACATTCATACTAGATCACTGAGGGAACACATGTTACGTAGGCGATAACTGCGGTGTCTAGTTATGTTTATTATTATAATTATATTATTATTAATACGATTATCACAGCTTTAACGTTGTGGTTTTTTTATTGTTGGAAATAGGATTTAGATGGTTCTCAGTCGTAACTGTTAAACTATAATAAGCTCCATCCCCATTAACATCAGCTGGTTGTATTAAGATTAACTGGGGATTTTAAATAATATGGGGTCATCCATTGTGATATGGTGTCTTTCTGTAGGAGGTCGTGCTAAATGGCAGGCTGGAACCTGTTGGAACTGTAGAGGGATTCAGTGCAGAAATAGGTGCAGCCGGTGTGTTCTGGCCAACCCACATCACAACTGCCTATCACACTTTCTTCTATCACGTGTCTGAAGACGATGCCCTCGCCTTTCCTGGTAAGACTTTCATTCTCTTCTCATCTCTCTATAACATTAGAAGACTAAAATATTGAAGTACTGTGCAAATTAATATAATTGTTACCAGGAGATCATTGCATCATAATTCTTGAATTAATGGCGTGATGGTAATCAAAAATTAATGTTTAATCAAATGCAGTATGCTTCAGTCAATTGTACTCTTTATGCAATGTACGGTACAGGTACTATAAGAACATATTAGTGGTTTTTCGGGGTGTCTTTTTAGGGTCATGTAAATCTAGGCAAAAAAGGATACAGGGTTCCTAGCAAAGGCACAGTGCAAGTGGTAAGTGTATCAGTGTTTATGATTACCTCATGTTTATTAGCTTTCTTGACAAGTGTGTGATGCCACCGCGCTGCAATGCAGGCGCAGCACTAGATTGCTCACCAGATAGAAATTATCCATTCTTATTCTGTTAATAATGAATCTAATCTGCAATCTGCCATTTATGTTGTTCTTTGTGTTTCTTCGTAGCACGCAAAATGGAATCCATAACACAAAGATTTGCTATTTTCTTCAATAGATTTAGCCTAGTCAGAATCACAAGTATTGGCAAAACAACTGTTTGGCAACGACAATTATTTAGTAGGTGTGAAGTAAAAATCCGTATGGATTAGTCCCTTTGTTCAGGGGGAAATTCGAGGCTCTGCTTCTGTGCTGGTGGTGCATATTAATTAGGTCGAGTGCGATGTATTTCATAAAGTGCGTCACTGCAAAATTCATATGCTCCCATGAGCGCACATACGATCCACTTGCCGCAAAACTAGAACTTTTATTGCGTGATCTTTTTCGTTACTACATAAATAATACGTATGCGTGGCACTGTATTGTAGTACGTATGTAGTATATCTAGACACGTATGTAGTCAACAAACTTGAATTATTCGAATTTACCTCCTAGACGCTCTTCAATCCAAACCAGACTGTGGTTGAAGATGTTTGTGGTGATGTATTGACCTCGCGTGACATGCCTCCAACTGTCAAACGTTTGTGAGACAGCGTATATTTACATGCCAACCGGAGCAACCTGCGCTGATGCGGGACGACTACGCTTTCTAATACATCTCAGGTATCTAGTGCATTTAATGCAATATACGCTAATAGTTGGTAATATTCGACGGCGATAGCAATCAACTCACATTGTTTTAATGATTGTTAGTGTTAAACATTCTCTATACTCATGTCATGACCTTGTGTGTTAATTTATTCAGACAAATAATAAATTTCCTTTACTGTCTAATTTATACAGGCAAAATACCGAATTCCCGTTCAATGCTTATTCCACTTTAAACTGATCGACTTTTTAAGTCCACACTCATCTGAGACAGATGCCCCTGTGTAAAGCGAACTATACGAAAGCTCACTAAATGGATGATCCCGATGGTGGTTGGTATAGGGAGAGCTGACTGTACAATTTTCTTTGCGATGGTGTTTGTAGTCTACTGAGCTCTATGGCAGCATCTGAACGTAGATTCGTCATTAACTGGTGCCAGATAGGTGTATCTGCAGCATTTTTCCATGCAGGTTTTTTTTTCAAACCATTTTTCAAATGTAAGTGAGTCTTGGCAGATTTGGTTCATGAGCATGGGTTCTCTTTTTTTGTTACCATACTGGCCGTTATTTAATCAGCTATCGCAATTATGGCTTTATGGATAGTCTATTGGAACGAGTCAAACGAATTTGCTAGGAGGCTTCTCAGTAATATCAGGAGCTAATAATGCTATGTCATAATGATACCATATTAATATATATTAGCTCTCGGTAAAATTCAGGGTAATGTAGAGCAGAGGTGATATTGAAACCTTTCTATGTGCAAACGTTGTCGCAAGTATGGCCACTTCTTTCGTGCAGGTATGGGTATGTGCCATGCAAGCTTAATTCCGCTATTATATATTAAGAACAGGTGCTGTCTTTAACTTTCTTGTTAAGTTCCAAATTTTTAGCTCATCTGACATAGTCAGATGCAGCTTGTAGAATCGCTTGTCCGTCCGTCCGGTCGGTCGTCGGTCGTACCGTCAACAGTTGGGCACGAAAATCTTAACCGCTTGACGTACGGTCACGATATTTCGGGTCGTTTGGGGGATCGTCAAAACGAGTTGGGATGTCGAAGCTGGGGGTCAAAGGTCAAAGGTCAAGAGGTGTAAAAGAAGGGGGAACATTCACTCCTTAACTTAAGGTATAGGGAGGAAATGCAAGATTGCGGCACAAATCTAAACGGCTCGACCTAGCTCGTGATAGTCGGTGTATAGCATCATGGTAGGAAAACCATCACTGTGCGCGCAAATTTGAGGTCACAGTCAAGGTCAGTGGGCACAGGCAGATTTTAGAATTTTCTGAGGACATGGTCTGGAGGAGGATTGAGAAACTTTTTTGTTTCAGCGGTGACCTAGCATTTTTATGGCTTTATTGAAAGGACCATGAAATGTCCTTCTGCTGACATGCGAAGAGTAAGTGTCGGATAACCTTTTGACCTCAAGAGGGAGGGTTAAACTTGGATTTGTTGACTGTCTGTTAGAAAGATTTGACTGCCGGGTTTGCTAGTAAATCTATACATGCCTGGATTATGAGGCTACAATGTCACAGTGACATTCAAGCTAATTTGGTTAAAGAAGGTGTATGTTCTTAAATCGTTATAAATTTCTATGTCATTCTGTACTGTCAGTATGTTACAGTGCTGCCAGTGCAATGCAGTGCATGTGTTGGGCAGTTTTTGCCTGCGTTAATTGGTTGCAGGTGGCAGCTCTCTATTGGCAATTTGCAGCCTGTAGGCGTTGCGTAGGTAAATGGATGCAGCTGTACCTATTCTGCTCTTGCAAATAGTTGTTGCTACTACGAATGATGGGAAGCTTCATCTTTAATCTGAAGACACTTAAACGTACGCGCCATTCGTTGGCAACTTTCATAACGATCCAACGACAATCTTCTTGAGAAGGTTCCTGATACCGATCCCTGTGCATTCCACTGTTCGGCGTGTATGTGAACACATTTGGGACTAACAGGTTTACTAGAATCCCTCCACTCCACCACAGAGTCACCGCAGTAGACGTTAGATGAGCGCTGTCGCTATGCGGCACTTGTTATACTTGCTACTCGCTTGTATACTAGCTTATGACTTTGTACATGCACATATATGCACATGAGCTGCAGTCAAGACAAGACAGCAACAAAGATAATTTTCTTGCATCTCCTCCCAAAAGGTTTATATTTGTATCATTTGTTTGAGTACAAATAGTGATTCCATGCTAAGCAGCTTTATTGCTTTCGTTAGATAGCTATTTTCTTCGCAGTCGGCTGCTCCTAACCACAGATCTATATATAACCCTATGTGTAGTTCTGTAGTACGTATGTTACACGTGGTATGACCTAACTCACCAGGCTTGCTTGTGACCTGGTTTCGAGACCGGTATACATGCATGAATAATGTCGACTAACGTGATCAGTTACGCCACGTAGTCGCGGCTTTTATCTCGCCTTTGAACTGCTCATCCTACAATGTTTAGGTGACATTATCGTGTACGGTAATTGTGTGTGCTCGCTCGAGCACTGGTACGCATTCGAGCAGAGCCTGAATCACAGGTTAAGCATGGCTCGCGGGAGCCACACTTGCTCAACTAGCCACTGTCGGAGAGACGACGAAACCCGGCCAGTGTAGCCGACGTGTTCTCAGTAGCTTTTACTGAGTCTAAAGATTTCCTTCTATCTTCCCTGAACTCCCTCGCCTGTCTCCTGTCTGCCTGAACTCCCTCTCCTGTCTCCTGTCTCCTGTCTCCTGTCCCCTGTCTGCCTGAACTCCCTCTCTTGTCTCCTGCCTCCTGTCTGCCTGAACTCCCTTTCCTGTCTCCTGCCTCCTGTCTGCCTGAACACCCGATTCGTACAGTGCACCCGACATGTTACCGACATGTATATATGTGTGTACATACCCACTCTTACCGACATGTTTGCGCGTCGACGTCACGCGGATGCTCTTCTGTTACAGGTTTGCAAGTTCCAAGTCGGGCAAGGTGTACCTGCACACCGACATCCGCATGCTCTTCTCACGTTCAGCCGACCTCGACACCAGTGTCGCCACCTACGAACTGCGATCCTTCACGGAGGTTCCCGTGAATCCACGTTTCTCCCCGCGCAAGTAGTCGCCGCGGTTCCGCCCCGCGACACGGCAAGCAGCGCCACCTACGAGCTGTCGTCTTTCGCGGATGTGCCGGTCAACCCGCGCTTCTCGCCCTGCAAGTAGCCGCCACGGCGCCGGCAGTGGCGAGACACGGTTCGAGTGACAGCAAAGTTCCGCCAAAAGCACACCCCAAGTCGCACTGCGCGTAAACTGACGTGTGAACTAGAGGGGATTGTATTGGGGTTTTTGCCGAATGCTCGATAAGGGCTCACGATAACTGCAGAATGCATTGCGCTGTGGGAGGTGGATATAGGCAGGCAGGGGAAGGGGGGTCGCACTCACTTGCGGTGAGGCGAAGCGAGGATTCCGTTGAATAGCCGTCGGTGTACTCTCGTAGCTGGTGCTTCGTCACCTGTGATTTTGTGATGGGTGTGCGTTAACTCAACAAGTCACAAGCCGCTGGGTCTAATTAATTTACGGCAGAGTAGATTAATACTATCTCTCTAAGTGCCTACTCTAAGTACTCTTAAGTACTATTCTCGCAATGGAACAACAGCTTTATGGCACTATTATAATAATAACCCACCTTATGTCATACCGATTGATAACCCTTTCCAATCACTTTTCTTCTAGGGTTTTTTAATGACACGTACTATGTCATTTATTAGATATCGATAAGCAACATTCTGTTGAAGCTTGCTTGTGCGATTAAACAGTGTAGAACTAACAATATTACCTGGTGGTGAGGTAGTTTGCGTGGTCCGGTGGTGTCTATTATTTAGTGTAGGGGCTTGCATGGGTGCGTGGAGGACCAGCTAATTGTTATGCTGGTGGAACGCTCTCATATCCAGTGTCAACGTCCAGCTCAAGTTTGTGATTTTCAGTCAATTCTAAAGTTTATTAATATTATTATAATTATTATTATTATATGTAGGAATAGTACAATAATTACAAGACCATAGAGTAGGTACGATGCGCGCGGCTAGGGGAGCAGGTAGGCCTAATCGTGTTGTGGTGAAAGTTTAAAAACCTATTTTACATATATAGACATTTTTTTTATTGAAGATGCACGCGGCTCGGGAAAATAATGCTATGATGCTAGTTGGGTTAGCTGTACGAGTTGTTTAGCTTTTAAAAATCTCTTTACTTGTTTCTCTGTGAGGTCCAGCGCTGCAGTAGATCAAATACGGCCCAACAGTAGACAGCCTCTGTGAGGGTGTCGTCAGTGTTGGAGCCCTTCCTGGGGGTTTCCTGTTAAGTTTTTTTTGTTATGTGTGCTGCATAACGTCTGGCACATTTAATTTTAATAATTTGACGATATTCAAATGATTTAAAGTAAAGAATGTGATTAGCAATTTGTTACTCGAAACAACTTTATTTCTTCTCTAAAGTATCCATTATAAACGCATGCTTACAATCGACCCAACAAAATTTGGCAATCAAGATTGGTATAGTAAACGAGTTTGAAATTGCTGGCACTGTACTGCAGAGTAAATTTGCTAATATATTATTATATTATAGTAGGCACTAAAACATTGAGTGTTGAGTATTGCTATTGTGTGTAACTATACAGAGTAGGGAGGTGAAGAGTGAATTTGACGTGGTAGCAATTAAGGTCTGGTGTTTTACTTGGAATTTACTATAATACGTATAGATGTTTTTCTGTTCCCACCTATGTCGGGAATCTAATGCTGAACGTACAAAAGAGAATGTACTCATTGCACTAATATTTCCTTTGCGGGAGAAGTCGGTATAGTACACGTGCGCTGCATCAGACACCAATGTTTCATTTCTAATTATTCTTACTAAGTAGTATTATTATAAGTAGTCATGATTTTTGTCAGCAAGCAATTAAACTTATTGTCTCGTATACGTTTGAGCTTTGAATCTGTGCTCGAAGGAATTTTGAAAGGGAGAGGGTCAGTAAATAGTGATGTAGGTATTTTAGTTTTTCTCCGCTTCCGTTTTGGCAATGGTATTGTAGTAGTCCACTAATATAGCACCGCGTGTTGCACCGCGTTACTCTAGTAGGAAATAGTTGGTGTTAAAGGATTTGTGGAGTGGCCTCTTTTGTACTAAGCCAGTAACGTGCATATACTTGTTAGAGGGAGGAGGTATAACTGGTAGGCATCCAGGGTATGCGAATGTGAAATGGAAATAGAAATGAATCGCGTAATAAGTTACGTACTGATGCGGACGGCATGTTATGCCGATAGTCCGATTACAGTTTTATGCACGTTTTATTTTCACCCGCACAATCCCAGGCGGCGGACAGACATTACACGCGGCGAGTAAAGCGGATGGACCGCTTGCAATACAATATGTGATACATATTGAATGTGTTCGTTCTCACGGTAAGCTTCAACGGGCACTAACATGTAGGGTAGCGATCGATCTGACTGGAGAGATATATGTGCATAATACGCGTGAAACTAATAGGTTCTTATAGTACATATACTGTACATAAGTCGGCTATAGGGCATTATAGTTTACAGTTTCGCGGCTGCAAGTGACCTGAGCCAGAGCTGACGTTAGCTGACATGCAGGCGTGTATTTTTTAGAATAGACGGCTACTTCTGCGATGTTCCACTCTAAATCTTCGGGATATCGCCTTAGCTGAAGTGTGTGCGTGTGTGTACGTGTATGCGTGCGTGAAAGCATCGCCCATTGATTTTGCACGTTTGACAAGCACAGCGTAGTAAATTAGCCGTTTTTCGCACCAAATATTTTTACGTTTGGTTTAGATCTGACATTTATAGTAAGTTTAATAGAAATAGGCCAAAATGCTTCAAGGACCATTAATTCTGTGTGTAGCTGAGTAGTGAGGTGTGTGTTATTACACATCCTTTATTGCTAATAAATACACATTTGATGTAAAAACATTAATCGGACCAATAGTGTTTTTTCTCTCTATTAATCAAGTGCATTTGCGTTTTAGGCTGTTTCAAAAGTGAGGCATCGTTTTAATCCATATTTCGCAGGGTTAGCGCAGTCCGACATGAAACTCGCCAGAATGCTATGTGTGCGTGCGCACGCGCGAGCGTGCGTGTGTGTGCGCGCGCGTGTGCGTGTGCGTGTGCGTGTGTGTGTGTACGTGACGATCAGGTTTTGCATCGCGGCTGCCACTAACGACGAGTGTGTCGTTAAGTAGAAATCTGCGTGTCGCGGCCCGTTTACGTGCTAGCCACCCAAACTTGTGCGCGGTGCTCATTGAGCTCCTAACCATTCTTTCGGAGAGCCATAGCAGCGCAACAAACGATAGTTTTGGCTGTATTTCGATTCCGGCAGAAGTCCTTATAGGCAGTGCGTCTTGCAGAGAATAATGTGGCTATACATATGGACGGGTTTGTCGGTGATGGAAGTCGATGCAAGCTTACGTATATTCGGCACCAGCCAGCGAAGGGTATTTATATCTGCTGGAGCTGGTGATTCACACAGTAGTGAACCGAGGTCGTTTGGTTGACTGTCTCATGCAATCCAAACGCATCTTTACAGCAGTGCCGTGTTACACGTAGTTTAACTATAGTGCCAAGCCAGTTCGACAGACAGGCGTATCGACGAGCTGGCGAATGAATAGATGGACTGATAAACAGATATAGAGATCGATAAACACGACCTCCCTTGCATTAGAAAATACCACCGCACTGCACCGATGCTTTTGACGCAGCTAGATCTATATAGGGAGATAGACGGCCGTCTGCGCCGATTATGGGTCGATAAACAACGCATCGTTATCTGATGTTGCTCCCGCGTATCCGCCACTTCGCTAAATTGAGAAAAAAAGCGAGAGAAAATGCGACAGAGAAAGAAAGAAAAAAGAAAGAGAGGTGGGTTGATCGTTGAAGGCGTAGGCAGATCTTAGGATATATATATATATATATATATATATATATATATATATATAATATATATAATCTACGTAAGCCTTGAATTAACAATAAATAATCAATCGAATTTGTTGTCCGATCTAGAGCGCCCTTCCGCCGTCTCGCCCGCTATGCTACAGCCATAGAAATGATATTGGTAGACTCTATATGTCTATATATATTTCTATGGCTACAGCACAGGGAGTGACGGCCTAATTACCGATGGTAGGTGTTTAACCGTTGTAGCCCGCGGCACTATGGGTATTTAGTAATCACGCCCTGAGCAATAGTCCGCGTCTCACTGTGTCAACGTTCTTCCCTGACCGCGTAGCTCGACCAGGCTGCGAGGAGACTAATGTCAATACACAATTAATGTGTCTATCGATGTACGATCGTTTCTTGGAGGCAGTCTGACCGGAATCCAAGGGTCAGAGTCGCGTCTTCTTCGTCTCACAGCCCCGTGTAATCAGATAGAAGACGCAAAATAAATGAGGACGGTGGAAGTCGCTGACACGCGGCTCGACCGATCATTCGTGTAGTGGCGTCACCTAGCGGTGACGATATATAATAACCACGATGTACGTACGCACACTATGTTCACGATCGTACATTATAGTAGTGGCAGAGTAATTACAAACCCAACATGCTAAGACTTAGATGCTCCGTATCGCAACGTCTTTCAATACCAATACCAAAAGTCCAGACATATCTATTTTTGACATATGACAACGTCTATCATGTGCACTTTTCCTCTTGCAGCTGGCTCTTCCTCTGGTGGTGAACAACAGTAAAGGCCGTCCATAGGCAGGGGTAATGCTATCCCCCGGGCGTGGAGGGAGGTGACCGCAACGTGGCAGCACTAGTGTTAGAATAGTGTTAGGATTAGGGTTAGGGTCAGGATTAGGGTTAAGGTTAGGGTTAGGGTTAGGATTAGGGTTAGGGTTAGGATTAGGGTTAGGGTTAGGGTTAGGGTTAGGATTAGGGTTAGGGTTAGGGTTTTTGCATCATGATATCTGTCCCCACACCATAGATTAATTTTTGTGGATAACACTGCCTATATATAGCGCGGCGACACATATATATTTAGTGTGGAGGTTAGTGTTGTCGGTGTTGGAGTGAGGGTTAACGTTAGTTTAACGGTTTGAACGTCATCGTCAACGTTATCACGTGACCTCCCTCCACGCCCGGGGGATAGCAACACCCCATAGGCAGCAGGCCTAAATAAGCATTGAACAGAAATTAATTAAAAATACTCACACTGTTACTTCGCTTACACAACATACACTTTATTTATGTTAAATAACTACAGATTCATGCTCTATGCTCCGCTCGAAATTTTTGCCAGCTCTATGATGCGAATTTCTGCAAAGTTGTCTGAACACATTTCAAACACAAACATGACCAACCGGTCGCTGTGGCTACGCCACCTGCGGAATGCCAGGAATTACGGAATTTGCGGAGGCTTACTGTTATATGCCTCCTATACTGAATGTTGTACAACGACTATGGCGTGCAGTATAGTAGCGTAATAAGCACAGTACATACATGCGTACAGATAGAGCGTCGTCAATGCAAAAGCAACATCGACAATGAATCGAATCGAGTTTCAACATCGAAAATCGTCGATCGTAATACAAGAATTTAAATCGCGTTCAACGCCGCATATAGCGAGTATATATATATATATATATATATATTCATTAATTTTAACTGTTTCGGTTGTGCGTGGTCAAGTACACCATCTTTGTATTCCACGGATTATCTGCATCATTCAATTCTGCAGAGAATATACTGGTTTAACACCAACTCGCACACGCTAGATCTTTCGCGTTATGATAAGATACAGAAGTGTGGCCATCCGAAATGACCATTTATGTGCGAAAAGATTACGTGATTTTTAATAGTTTGTACTTCACAGACGATATCACAGGCACTTGGAGCGTTTCAATAAAATATAATGCTAAGTAAATACGAAATCTATTTACTACCAAAGTCTTAATGTTTCTCTACTCTCTTTCGCCTATTAATGCCGAAAATTTCCTGTAAATGCCGTGCAAAGGCTCCTCTGCAACACACATGTCCACCGCACGCACACTGCCGCACACTGACACATAAATATAGAGTGACATATAAATATAGAGTCACACATAAATGAGACACATTTAGAGTGACACATTAATATAAATATAACCACTCTATATTTATGTGTCAGTGAGCGTGCGTGCGGTGGACATGTGTGTTGCAGAGGAGCATTTGCACGGGGTTTACAGGAAATTGTCGGCAATAATAGGCGAAAGAGAGTAGATAAAAATTAAGACTTTGGTAGTAAATAGATTTCGTATTTATTTAGCATTCTATTTTATTGAAACGCTCCAAGTGCCTGTGGACGATATCTGGCGCGGGTAGTAGACATATAACGATTTACACGTTACACAGCGATATATGTATATCAGGCGTTAATAATGTCATTATTAACCCCTGATGTATAATATACATCATATATATATATATATATATATATATATATATATATCAAGAGTACATAATAGGAGAAATCTCTTATTATGTACTCTTGATATATATACATACATATTATCAGGAGTTAATGAAGACAAACCGAACAAAAAACGAAGAAAATTTGTCTTCATTAACTCCTGATATTATGTATATATGAAACGACAGAGAGATAAACGATATAAAAAGTGAAACCGGTGAATTCATTATGCTTTCTTGCGTGGTACCTTGTCACTAGAACCTCTCAACTAGCTATGACTAGACCATATCTCAAAGTACAAGTACAATTTTATCAAGAGCCTATTAAGAAAGCATTCTTAATATAGGCTCTTGATTTTATTAATCTGTCACTGTAAGCGAGTATACTGAAAATAAAATACCTTGTCGGCCGCGCCTGTGACTAATTCATCACCACGCATTTCGTCGGCCAGCTACACTAAGCGACGATATTTGCATTTTACCGCTGCCCCCATCGCCCTCTATCGGCGAGTTGTTCTTCTTGTCTTCCTGCGCGGCGACCGAGTGGATGATGGCGGACACGGGGCTCGGGCATTCGTCATGCACACCCATCACTGAAGGTGGGATCGTGTGATTCTCGTACTGGATGCAATGTTCGGCGATGTCCGCTCCAAGCAGCTCGTCTTCGGGCGAGAGACGCAGGCCTACTGTCAGATTGATGCCCTGAATGGAGCCGAATATGTACGAACATCATTACAATCACCGATAGCCGAATGTCCTGCCTCCTACGTAACACACGCACACGCACGTACGCATATGCAGGCAAGCACGCACCGTCGCACACGCGCATGCACCCAGATCAGCACGCACATCACACATCTGTTAGATCACAACCATGCATCACAATAATTATTTGTCGGAGAAATGCACAAGTAGTAGTAATCGTCGAATATGATTATATGGACTTACCAACAGTAGCATGAATGACGTGAGGGCAGACCATGCGATCATGGCTACTACGGCAGCGGTTTGTGCGCCAAGGAGGTAGCCACCTCCGCCGTGGATCAGTCCCGCGCGGCCGTAGGTAAGATATTGAAGCTTGTCGTTCTATTAACAAGGGCAATTAACATGAATAATTAAGGCGACTTCATGACGAAAAGGTGACGCCATATGCCGTTCTTCCTCTCACAAAGTTTCATCACGAAGCTGTGATTACGATATCTGGCTATTAAACGACGCACACTTAAATATTCCGTGTCGTATATGTGTGCGGGGAAAAGCACTCTGAATGCACGCACGCACACACTCACACGCACGAACGCACGCACATACACACACACGCACACACACACGCACACACGCACACACACACACACCGCGGTGACACAACACCATCACCCACACATACCTACGCACGCCACTGCACCCCACGCGCCAAGAGAGAGAGAGAGAGAGAGAGAGAGAGAGAGAGAGAGAGAGAGAGAGAGAGAGAGAGACGTACCCACGTGGGCGCTCATGCCTATACATATACGTACCTCGGCGAATATGCCCACAGAGAGCATGCCCCAAATGCCGGCGGCGGCGTGCACACTGACGGCTCCCACCGGGTCGTCGATGCGCAGGCGGTCAAGCAGAGGCACCGTGGCCAAAGTGATTATCGCTCCGATGGCGCCAATGACCAGTGCTTCCCACGGCCGGACCACCGCGCACCCGGCTGCAGTGTAACCATGCAAGTGTATAACAACGGAAGCAGACGATAGGTCCTGGAGTAAAATAGTAGCATGAGTCCATTTCTATTCCATTTTATATTATAGACTCTTGATAGTAGAGATCTCATAGTAGCAAGAGTACATAAAATTTAATAGAGATCTCATTTCACCAATCTCTATTTATGCACTACTGATTTATTAGGAATAATACGAATACTAGAAGTGATACTAGAAGCAATGTCGTGAGGTGTTAACAAAATTTTGACCACGATGACACTGACCAGATGATCTATGACATCAGGGCCAGAATCGGACCATGGAGTCCAGTCAAGTGCGCACCGCGCACCCCCACTATATTCGGTATTGTAAGATAGCGGTTGAGATCCTCACTCCACCGTATTCGGGAAGGCCGGTTGGTCAGAAGGGGAGCTAAATGGGATCTGTGACGTAAGGGAAGAAACGCGATCGCGGACCGGGGTGCGCCGTATAAATGGCGGAAGCCACCGTTCTCGGGACAGGCTCTTGTGCCAGCCACCCGCTGAGGAAGATGTAGTGTGTAGTAACCGCTCTTGCTTTCGGTAGTGCACGGAGACTTCATGTATTGTATTAGAGATTGAGTAAACACCAGTGGACGTTACTTCTTGTCTTGTTTTATCTCTATCAGTCTAATACAGACCTAGCTTCTAATATGGTAGTGCGAATAACACGCCTACATTTGGTGCAGTAACCAGTCGATCTTGGGTATTCCTTTGCCAAACAACGAACTAAAGGTACTATAGCTATACGATGCACGAAAGTCGAGAGGAACACTGAGTGAAGACAGCTGTAACGATGATGAAGAAGAAGATGAAGAAGAAGAAGAAGAAGAAGAAGGAGGAGGAAGAAGATGAAGAAGAAGAAGAAGAAGAAGAAGAAGAAGAATAAGAGGAAGAAAGAAGAAAGGAACATTGACATGCTTGGCAGATTCCGCAGTGATTGTGACATTCGTTATGCAGAGTTTCGCCATACGCGCAAAATGTATGGAAATGCATAGGAACAGTGATATGCAGCTGCAAATAGCTCATATAAGCCAGAACATTCGCAATTGTACGACCTGGCTACGGAAGAAGCAGGGACGACGCAGAAACACGCGCGATTCAGCTACACGCAAGGACCGACAGGAAGCAGCTGATGCCGGACAGCGACAATATAGCGAGATATCCGTTGAAAAGACAACAAACGATCAAGGGGAGAGTTCGAGGCGGGTGAGTGAAACAAGTTCTTGTGTCGGCATAAATAGATTTCGTATTAAACTAGCTTGCAAAGGTACGAGCGTATTACTTAGCGAAATATTAAAGCACTTTTCTCCACCTATAACTACCGGCCGGCCGGCCGGCCGGCCGGCCGCCACTATCCCCTCCACCACCCTCAACATCAGCTTATTTTATTACCTTAGCCATGACTGATTTACCTATAGAAACGATGGCATGTGTTAGACGTGAAGTTATTAAACCTTCATTGCACAGCGTGGTAGAGGGTCTTGATTTCGGGTTACGGGTTTTCTGAAATGCGTAGAATGCCCGAATTCCCGAGACAATGCATATAGTCTTAAGGGAATAAGTCGAGGTGCTAGGTAGACGCACAGGTTAATGCAAGAGCCTGGGATATACGCCCTCGGACTCGCTGAGGTAGGCCACGAACAGAATCGTGGGACAGAGAGCGAGAGTAGTGAGGTAGGGGCACAGGTAGATTTACGCCCGTTAGCAGAACTACGAGATTCACCTGAGAGGGGTAATCGTTCTGTTTAGGTGTCACGGTATAAGTATGACTCGGAGGATAACACAGAGAGAAATTTACCCTAGAGCCCAAAACAATAACCATACCCTTCCTGATCCATTATTCCTATTGTATACCAAAAGTGCATATTATAATGTCTCGAAGCTCACACCTGCGAGGTACGCAACCATTTTTGCCGATATACGATTGTTTCACAGCCTACGGGACGTGTTATTATTCCTCGTTCATTGTAGTATTCATTCGTGTAATCTTTGCGTGAAACGTTATGTAGAAATTTGTCTTCGTTGTTGAATTTGTCATAACGGTACGTTTACACTATATTGTCAGACTGCTAAACACATTCTTCAATTAGAGTTTGATATAGGCCTAAAACATTTAATCGAAAATATGAAATCAGTTTTGCGTCTTTTTGTTGGCTGTATGATGTGTGGAAGTGACAAAGGTTGTCAGGTCGATCCACATCGGTGTTAATTAAATGACGATTATGAATATGATATATAACGGAGCACGAGGCTCGATGTATTTAAACGTGGTTTCGGTAATACGTATTCGGTAATACGGTATTCGGTAATGCGTGTCGGTACGCGCATATGTTGTATTGTAGCGATTGTAGGTTGTATAGGACGATACACGTACGTTACAGCATAAAAAGACGCAAGATTGAGAGTAATTGCAGCGATATCAAAATGTTTACTGCTAAATGTGTTGAAGTTCTGACTCGTATGGTGATCGAACTTTATCGTTACTTGTTTTATAGAGTATAAATACAGTGCGAGGTTAATCCAAAGCTAAATTAGGGAGAAATAAATAAATAAATAAATAGATGTTGGTTACGATACGATACGATACGATCACTAAACGAAATGCTTTTGTAGCCTGCGTACCTATAGGGTATTTTCTTTGATTTTCCGCTGTAAATCTTCCAGTGCGCTACACGATATTTTCCATTGACTTTGACTTGCACGGGATATTTATTTGCAAGTAGCGCGTTTTATATCGGTTCGGTTTCTAGCAGCACCTAGACGTGATGGTAGCAACGGCGTTCGTTCGAGACTGCCAGTCGGTTTTTGTTTATTATAGTGGAGCTGCGCTTGTTCGGCTACGTCACCAATCCATTGTCTCCCCGGGCGAAATTTTCAGCCAGGGGGCTGCAATGTGACGATGGCCATCGTCTCGGTAGGAGGGGAGGAATGTAAGCGGGCGAAACTCGCACACTATGGGAAGCATGGGGCGATGCGGGGAAACGCAATCTTGGCGCCGCAGTGTCGGAAGGGATGTCACAGCAGGCCGAAGTTCTTGCCGAGTTCTTGCGCATTGTGACAGCCTAGACACTGACCAGATGATCTATGACATCAGGGCCAGAATCGGACCATGGAGTCCAGTCAAGTGCGCACCGCGCACCCTCACCATATTCGGTATTGTAAGATAGCGGTTGAGATCCTCACTCCACCGTATTCGGGAAGGCCGGTTGGTCAGAAGGGGAGCTAAATGGGATCTGTGACGTAAGGGAAGAAACGCGATCGCGGACCGGGGCGCGCGGTATAAAAAGAGGAAGCTGGCGTTTGTTCGGGGCTTCTTGTGCCAGCCACCCGCCGAGGAAAATGTAGTGTGTAGTAACCGCTCTTGCTTTCGGTAGTGCACGGGAACCTCATGTATTGTATTAGAGATTGAGTAAA